TTTTTTTTTTTTTTTTTTTTTTTTTTAAGACCATCTGTCGATTTATGTGCGTCATCCTTGCGCAGGGGCCATGCTATTTTTCTGTGTATCATAATACTATCATTCCAATTTGAATGGGGATGACTAGAAGGATGTGAGCTCCTAGCTTTTGTCACTTTTGCATTGCCAATTTGGCGTACTTTTCGCCGATTACGAAGAAAAAACGTTGTACTCGATTAACGACTTGAAACGTACCTGGACACCAATCGCTGTGTAGAGAGAGAGAAGACAAAACACCATCTTTAGAAGCGGCATAATGGCGGGCAACAAAAACTTCATGGTGTCAATGAGTTGTTTCGTGCGTTCGAAGTACCGAAACAATTCGACAAGTCGGACGAGCTGAAGCAAAAGTATCAATCGCAACCTGCAGTGTTGTCGATCAGAAGGCCCACACGAGATCGGACACATGACAACATTCAAAAAACATGCAGCAAATGCGCACTAATTAGCCCTTGCCCATCTAAACCCTAAAGGGCCTAAACCCTAAACACTAAATTCTGAAGGGGGTACAACCCTAAACACTAAACACTGAACACTAAATTCTGAAGGGGGTACAAGCCAAAAGGGGGTTACAGGACTGTCATAACCGTGAATGCCCTATCTGTCGGACATTGATTAGTCCGTATTGAGGAGTCCTTGCCACCCTGAAAGCTGAACTCTCAACTGAACTCTCATCTGAATCAACTGAACTCTCAACTGAACTCTCAACTGAACTCTCAACTGAACTCTCAACCGAACTCCCAAGGTGATACAGGAATGGCGAAACAGTGATTTCATTACAGAAACATTGTGAGAATGTGTGCTTTCGTTACAAAAACAAGTAGGACCCGCCGCGCGGCGAAGCCGCAGGGCTCAGAGGCGGGGATGAGATGAAGCGACGAAGGACGGCCACGCCCGCCAAACCAAAACGCCAAGCCTTCTTGGTTTTTGGCCCAAAAAAAAAAAAAAAAAAAAAAAACACGGGTAAGCCAAAAGCAAACTTAAGGGCCCAGATACCAACCCGCGCAGCTCAGTAGGTACACCCCTGAACTGTTGAAACACAGACCCCCGAGTTCGAACTTCACTGGAAGAAGGTGAGCAACAAAAAAGAAAATGGTAAGCCAACGGCAAAGGCAGCAGCTACCAACCCCCGCAGCACCCCTGAAGTGTTGAAACACAGACCTGAGTTCGAACTCCAGTGGAAGCAGATGAGAAACATACTACAAAACAAAAAAAAAAA